TGAGAGGAAGGGAGAGGGATAAAGAGTTAGAAACATCGATGAGAAAGAAACAACGATGAGCTGCCTCCTGCACACTCCCTCTTGGGGATGTGCCCATAACCAAGGCACATGGTCTTGACCAGAATCAAACCTGGGGCCCTTCAGTCTGCAGGCCGATGCTCTAGCCACTGAGCCAAACCGGTTATGGCCACACTCTATTTTTGTATTTAGTATCCTTTAGAGGGCACATCCATCTCTCTTGTGTGAATTTCTAGGGGATAGCATTAAGTGCCATCTCTGCATCCACAATGTTTTATTTCTGGAATAATGTAAGAATTCAAGTTTATCCAATTAAATGAAGTAAATGATTGAGCTCTTTTAGAACTATTGTAACTGTAACATGCTGTCAAGAAAGATATATATGCTTTGGACTGTTTGTGGCATTTTAAAATTTGAACATATGTTTTTCACACAGATGTTTTGTGTTACCTGCTTATGTAGTTTTTTTTTGTTTTTTTTTAATAAAAACTATGAGCTGCAAAAGAGCTTTATAGAATGCTCTTTAGCTTCCTCTCATTTCTGTGCCCCCCGGCTTTCTTTTTCCTGCTATTGTTGGTTGTGTTTTTCTCTTGCTATAGTTTAACTTTTATTCCTTTCTCTTTTCTTTTTTTCTTTTTTTCGAGTGATCAAAACATTACATTGCATCCTAAGATTCAAAAAATAAGTTTTAAAGGCAAAACAAAAATATTGACTTGCCATTGCTGAGGCAAGCTGTGAGGTTGAACTCTCAAACAAAGTGCGTTCTCACAGAGAAAGGAGCATCAGCTGTATCTGGCTTTCCAGCCACAGAGGGAAATCTCTGACGCTTTCACAGAAGCTTCAGGAAAGAGGTGGGGAAGGATGTGGGATTTACAAGAACAGGAGAGGGCAATGATCACAGGCATAAGTCAGGAAGCCTGGGTTCTAGACTTTATTTCTAACTGTCCATATATCATTAAACCTCTCTGGGCTTAAAAGTAAAATGAGGGCATCAGACCAGGGGATTTTTTTAAAGACCTCTTTTCCCAGATTTCCCCACAGCAGCACTGTTGACATTTTGGACTGGGTAAATCATGTGTTGAGGGGAGGGGTTCTGTCCTGTGCATTGTAAAGTATTTAGCAGCATTTCTACCATCTGCCCACTAGATGCCAGCAGTACCCCACACACTCTCCAGAATGACAATCACAAACCATCCCAGACATTGCCAGATGCCCCCAGAACAAAATCCCTCCTGGCAGAGAACCTCTGCCCTCAAGCTTCCTTCCACGGCAAATGCCTTATTGTCAAGTTGTAAGCTCCTCAGTTTTTCCACATTTTTTTTCAGACAGTTCGATCTCTCACTTGAGTATTTTTAAACACTGATATACACTCTCCAAGTTCTTTTCCCTGGTTACAGATGTACAACCAGTTTGTACAGGTACTATATAGACATGTATTAAAAATTGACCTCTAACCAGAGATGAAGTAAGCAGACAACAGTAAAATGCCTGGAGGAGGCTCGTCAAGAACTGGTGACGGTGAAGTGCATCGAACTAGAGCTCGTTTCACACAAATAGCATCGTAAGCGTGACCTGCCAATAACTGTTGTGAAGGCTGGCGTTTTCCTGGCTTCCTCATTTTCATTCTTGAACTGTGCTTCTGGCAAGAGCTTGGAATATATAATATATCCATTACCTTCTATTTATATTTTTCTGTAAATGTACAGATATATTTGTTTCTGTTGTCATTCAGGAAAATAACTTGCTCGCAATTGAAAAAACAAACAAACAAACAAACAAACAAAAAACACCATCCCATCTTAAATTCTATGATCTCATTCTTTAGTGGCTATGTGTTCAGCTTGACACATGTGTCATCTGATTGTATTGTTCAGTACCGGTAGGAGTTCTGTGGTGGCAAAGTGTCTTTTAAGGGTTATGGATACCGAGAGAAGCAATATGTTCAAAACATCCCATCCTTTGTCATTATGCAGAGAGGGGGGAGGGTTAACCTTTAGTATTTTCTATCCCCTAGCTTGTGAAAATAATTAAATGACAGCAAGAAAACTGGTCACTGGCATGAGATGCTTTCTTTTCCTTTTGATAATATTTGTCATGGGAGATTTAGCTTTACCCTACCAGAGTGAATGAATAGCACCTGTGTTAAAGGTCCCAGGTTATGAGGAAGTAAAAGGACATAAAAGCCATTAAGGATTGTCTTTAATTTCTGGCAGTTCACATTATAATATGTGTTTCTAGTTGTATCCCAGATATGCATAGTCTTTTTCCTTAAGAAAATCTTTCTACTCCCCAAAGCTACATTCTTAGATTTGGAAGCTTTCAGACCAGTAGCGAGAGTCACATCTGCTGCAGGTGTGATTTCAGAGTCATCTTCAAGGAGGACAGTGTGGTGAAGAGCAGCGCCAGAGGGGGGTGGGGGGGAAGAGTGGGGGTTCGATGTACACAGGCCGGTAGGACCGCGCTGGGCTGGGGCCTGGCTCTGTTTCCTTGAATGTTGTGTTAGGCACCCTGGGTTATTTAGCTAGACTTCAACCTCCTTAATCTACGGTTATGTTCAAAGGACCTCCAGTGACTATCTTAACTCTGATTCCCATCATATCCCTAATTAAAAAGTCACTGAACATACATTCGCATCTATTTTTTACCTCTCTGGCCTCCTCCAAACTTCTTACTTGTTAGAAATGTTGGATTGTGGACAACATTTGAAACATAATTACATTTAGTTTTCACTTTGTGTTTAAATCATTCCAAAGCTCTCTTTTACATCACCATTTCTAGTTCCTCTTCATTTTGAATCATCTTTTCTCACAGCTTTGAGGTGCGTGTGAGTGTTTTTTTTTGTGTGTGTGTGTGTGTGTTTTTTCAGGAAGAGTACACAGAGAGTATATTTTCTGACACCTGGAGTATCTGAACAACTCTGTTGGCTTTATCTATTATACATGCACATATATGTAGCTAGTTGTGGAATTCATACATCCATTGTAACATGTATTTTTTTTCTGAAAGTCATGCAAATTTGCCTCATTTTATCGAATATTCTCACACTTACTGTTCTTTCAAGTGACATACACTTTTTAAACTAAGAACTTTCTTCATTCTGTGTCTGTAAATTCCACAGGAACAAGCTGCTGTCCCTTTCACAATACATGGCATACTGGCACTGAAATAGCTTTGAATTGCTTGCTTCTCTTTCATTCACTAATTCTGGTTTGTCATTTACTGAGAGTCTTCTTTGACTTTCATGCCCTGTCTTTCTCTTGTCCTTATCTTCATTCTTTATCTTTTCACTCTACATTCCAGTAGTCTCTTGGCTTTATATAAACCTTATATGCCAGTGATTATAGTATTTTAGGCATTGTCGGGTCTGTTCTTTGTTGCTAGCAAAGATTTACATCCTACTACTGAATTTTCAGTTCTTTGATTTACTTTCTTTTTCATTCTGGTGACTTTTCATTTTAGATTGTTGTGTTTTTATTTTGTCCTGATTCTTTAAAATAATTTTATCTTGTTGAATAAGCTTTTTTTTATCCAATATATTTTAAGAATCCTAAACAAATATATTCTAAACTATTTTCTGAAATAGGTTATCAAAGGTATTTATTTCCTCCATGATTTCAGGTGAATTCTTTCCTAACTTTCTTTTCTGTTTGTTCATGCCTTAATGAGAAAATATATATTTAGACTTTGTATCTTTCCAGTAGACTTAAAAATACAGAGATTACTAGAGTTTAAAGGAACTCTGGAAGAAAGGGAAAGAAAGAATTAGCCTCATGACTAAAGTAGAGGTGACTGAAAAGAGCCCGAGAAGCCCATCCTCAAAATAACATTTCTTTAGGTGCTGGATCCCAGGAACTAAGCAGGGAGCTCAGTGAGATGCATATGTCATCAGTGCTGTCATTGCAGATGATGGGTTAAGTCAGCTCTTCATGTGAATGACTAATCCAGTCACTTCCTTGAACAGACTTGAAGAAGCACAAGGACATCTAGTTCCCAGCAGGAAATGTAGTGTAGAGTCAGCACTGAGATAAGAGGAATAGTATCAAATTGATATTTTGTACACCTTAAACATATACAGTGTTGTATGTCAATTCAATCTCAGTAAAACTAGGAAAATAATTTAATTTAAATAAAAATAAATGAGTAAAACTTTAAAAGAAAAGAGAAAAATGGACCTATAAAAAGGGAAGCCTGAGGATAGGAAAGACAAACTTTGCTCACTCACGTGATGGTCCATTGGGTGTCTCAGCAAAGTCAGTCCAGTTCTTTCATAAGTTTAAGAGTAAAGATCCTGCCACTTCTGAGTTCTATTAACTGTTCCAGATAGAGCTCTGAGGATGGAAGAGCACAATATTTTTTTCCTACATACCTTAAAAATTAAATGGGGCAAAGGGTAAGAAAAAATATACTGGCTGTCCAAATTATTCTTTGATAGATGCCCTAAATTTAACTATTTCGAGATCCTCAAGCTAACATATGACCAAAGCAGATATTTACCAACATAGGAAATTATGGATTAGAGAATAACTATACTCTGATTAATGTTTCGCAAGACTTTCTTCTTACATGTTGCATTGGATGCAGGTCTCTGTTTCTGTAAATGTCATAAACTCATACTTCACGCTTATGCCTTCTATAAATCTTCCATTTCAGTCATTTTAATTAAACGCTTACCTATGATCAAACAGCTGACACTTTAATATCATTAGCCAAATTTACTTTTAATACTAGTTGGGGAATACATTTATGTGCAGATATATTTCACATGTTTGTGCACCATAACTACAAATACCAAGTATATTCTTTTGAGAAAAATCTCAATACCACAAACCTGAGAAACCATCCCAGAAGTCTTTGCTTACTTGTATGATCATTAAACTTTGATTGTTAACTTTGGTTTGTCTTCTAGGTTGGGGTGGAAGAGATCATACTTTGTTGTTGATTGTGAAAAATGTGACAGCAGCCCTTTCTATCTCCTTCTATAGATTCTCTACAGATTAAAGGAAAAGTTTCAGCTTTCTTTGAGACAAGATAAAGAGAAAAATCAGGAGATCCACCTGTCACCCCTCGCTTTACAGCCAGCACAGACTGAGGCAAAGACAGTCAACAGCATGGTCCAGCCTGAGCAGGCGCCGAAGATACTGAGTGTGGTCGTGGACCCTCAAGGTCGATACGCTCCTGAGATCAAAGCTACCACCTCTGTCTGCCCTTCTCCTTTCAAAATGAAACCCATCGGACTTCAAGAGAGGTAAGACCTTTTTCTGTGTCCCCCACGTGTTGATTTTTTTTTTTAAGAGTACTCGCCAACAAAAAAGGATAGAACTAGAGATTATTGGCATAGTAAGTACCATCTCTTATATCAAATGGACACCAGGAAGACCAAAGGGTCTTGGCTTTGATTCCGGTGAAGGGCATGTACCTCTGTTGCAGGCTCCTCCCCGGTCTGGGGCCTGGTCGGGGCTTGTGCAGGAGGCAGCCAATCCATGTGTTTCTCTCACATCGATGTTTCTCTCTGTCTTTCCCTCTTCCACTTTCTCTAAAAAAATCAATGGGAAAATATCCTCGAGTGAGGATTCAAAATAAAAAATAAAAAAATAACAATGAATGAGTTGAAAAGAAAAGGATTGGTTACAGTGAGCTCCGAAGTACTTAAAGGGAAAACACTTTGACTTCATAATGGAAGGAAAATGGAGAGCAATCAAGTCATTCTTTCTACCCTGTTTCCCCGAAAATAAAACAGTGTCTTATATTAATTTTGCTCCCAAAGATGCGCTAGGTCTTATTTTCAGGGGATGTCTTATTTTTCCATGAAGAATATGGTACACATTTATTGTTAAATGAAAATAAAGGAAATTTATTACCTGTATACGGTACGGTAGTATGGTAGTTGTCAACACAAACCAAACAACTGTGAATCCTACAGTATCAAGAATTTACTCATTTATTCAATGACAATCATGTCATCATCTTCTGGAAAATCATCATAACAATCCAATTCCTGAATTTCCTGGTGAATTTCTTGTGACTCCATTTCTTTCAGAATCAGTGGACCAAATCTCTCATGTTTAGCCTAGGGGGGGCCTTATTTTCGGGGGTAGGGAGAATGCCTTATATTATTCTCAGAAGGAAACCTGTAAATAGGTCTTATTTTCAGGGAAACACGGTACCTCCTCCCCCCAAACATTTGATGGATTCTTCATGCATCGGGGTACCATTCCCTTGCTTGAATACCACTAACTTGCTGTCTGGGTGGCAGTCTGGAAAGGCAGACAGGATGGAACTTTTTCCTGAAGCACCGGAAGTCGGGAGAACTGGAATTGGGACCCAGCTCTGTCATTTCTAGATTGAGTGGCTTCATGAGCCATTCACTTATCTGGGCCTCATTTTCTTCTGTAACACGAGGGGGTTAAACTTGACTGCTTTGGTCCTCACGTTCTTTCACGCTTGTTACCCAAATTAATTTTAAGCATTTATGTGTTGTTGTTGTTTTTCAAAAAGAAACCTTGAAGCAGCATCTGAGCATCAGTAGTGTACCAAGGGCAAGGGGGCGGAAAAGATCTGCTCAGATGCAGGCCATAAGGGGGTCGTTTTCTAGAGATGATTTAAAGATGATTATAAAACTGACTAAAAGTCTGACTAATTTTTATTGTCATCATGTGGCACCAATTCTAAGCAAGGTCAGTGATTAAATACTCTAGGGAGTACTTCTTCCTGGCATCCTGCCCTTTGTCAGCCACTGCTGGACATGTTGGGATTCCAAGGAGCATAAGGTTAAATATCTGTTTATTCATTTAAATGAAATGAATGTTCAATAAAGGAGAGTACCGGCATGGTCTCTTACTCATGTTTGTGGTCTACGGAGGAGACTTAAGCAGAGCAATTGTGTAATCTATAACTAAATGGATTCCCTGCCCCTGGTCTTCACAGTCTCCTGCATCCCCACCCGTGGCCTCCCTCCCCCTTCCCACCTCAAGCAGGAGAGAGCCAGTGATTCTGTCTACAGAAGCTCCAGATTATTCCCTCCCAATTGTCATAACCGACTCCATCAATTTCCTTCTCCATTTTCAACTGTCCCCTAGCTGCTAAAGCTATCCCCCCACATAGAAACAGGTTCTTTTTTGTATCAAAAAAGCTCCCTTAACACAATGCCTCCTCTGGTTGTTATCTTTCTCCCCTTCTCCAAATGGGTCTTAAATGAGCAGAGTATATTTGTTGCTTCATTGGTCTTCAAACTTCCATCGTCACTATTTCTCTCACATGTTTGCCAAGTTTGCCAACGGACTAATCACAGAGCACATTTCATGTTCACATCTAGTGTTAAACTGTCTCTCCCTTTGGCCTCCAAGAGATTATTTTTTGGTACTTGGTTGGCTACTTTTAGGCTCCCATGCAGACTCTTTTCTCTCCATAACTTCAGAGTTTCATCAAAGAAGTAGATTGAGCTGGAGGTACTTCTTTAGGGAACATTCAAGTCAAAGGTATTAAGAGAAGAGGTGGTTGTGGTTGGATTACCTAGGGAGGAGAGAAGAGGTGCGAAGGTGAGACATGGAGTGAGGAATAGAAAAGGAATATGCAGAAGGAAATTCAAGCATCACCTTCTCTTGAAAGCCATTCCAAGCTTCCTCTAGCTTCTTCCCTTCGTTCTCTAGCTCACCTTACTGACACCAATTCAGCTCTCTCCTCTGTTCCCCTCTGCTCTAGTCTTATAACCCTGTGTGCAGACAGTGTTTAACTTCTCGGGTGTAGGTAAAGTTTTCATTTGTAGTGTCCTACTCCCTATACTCTTAAGGGTACATACATGATTTAATTGTCTTTTTGTGTCTTACATGTAGAATATAATTCCTGAAAAGCAGAATTCCTAGAAGTAAATGCTTTAAGGAATGAATGAATGAATATTATAATGAATAATTCTCAGGTCACCTTTCACTTGTAATAGGGAAACACTTTGCTTATTACAACATCTCTTCCTCATCTACTCTCACCCTATTTTTCTACCATAATTCTCTGTCAAGATAGTGTAATGAGTTTTAAGAATGATACAATATGAAGAATATACAGTGTTTTATGGAGTCAGAAAACTTTTCTGAGAGTTTAAAGCCGTAAAACTTAATTTATGCTTATGTACCTTTAAAATATCTTTGTGTTTTACAGTCCTCCACCTTCCTATCCTGGAGTAAAATACTAATCCTCTGTTCTGGCTCCATTAAAATCACCACGAGGCCATAAAGTTTACATTACGAGTCATTTGTCTCAAAATCTTTTGGGTCATACCATATAAATCTCTCATCCCTGATTAGAAGAATCCATTATTCTAATAAGGTTAAGGGACTGTCTGACTGTCTGACCAGTAGTTATGACATGCACTGACCACCCGGGAAGACACTCAATGCAGGAGCTGCCAAGTTGCGGTGACTTGGCAGTGGTGGTTCTCAGGTAATGTACCCCAAAACCAGAGAGGAGGGAGCCAGTTCCAGGGTGTATCACCCGAGAACTTCCCTCTTGCAATCCGGGTCTCCTCCAGAGAACTGGTTTTGGCCTTATCCCCATAGGCCAGGCCGAGGGACCACACTTGCTAGAGGGACCCCACTCACTCTGCAGACACCCTTCAAGCTACAGTGCTGCCCCAAGTGCAGCTGGCCAGGGAAGTTGGCTCCAGGGCATTTCCATTCCATCTCGCCCAGTCCCACCTCACTGTCCACCTTCTAATTAATTTATTTTCAATGTGCATGAATCCATGCACCAGGGCACTATTTATTAATAATAAAATATGATTTTAAATTAAAAATAAAATTTAAAATATATAAAGCCAAATGCCTATGCTTAACTAGTACAAAGTATATAACCTGGAAATTATGAAGATTAAAGAAGCATAAGGTGAGAGACATAGTAGTTTCCTCTTTTTTTCTCCCTACTTCCAACTAGTCACTAAATCACATTGATCCTTGCTCCTCAGATGTTCTCATTAATATCTCTTTTTGTAACCATTACCCTGGACTAAGATCCCACTATTTCATATTTGAATCATTTTGCCTTACGATTGTAAAAATGATATCAGGATGAATATGTTTCATATTTCACATATATTATTTTCTTTTATCTTATCTGCCTGATCTAATTCTCTTGTCTCCCTGAGTTATCTTGCTATGACAATACTTGCATTGTTACGTTGCTCTACAAAAAATCTCATAGCCCCCTTTTGCCTGCAGAATAAGGCACAAACTCTCTTGTTGGGCCTGATCATTCTCTCCAAACCTGCTAGCCACTATCCCATCAAAATAAACCTTCCCTTCCGTCTGCTCTCTTCCCCGCAGTGTGCTATGTTCCTGCCCACATTTGCACCTTTGTTCACCTGGTCCCTCTTCCTTCTCCTCTTATCTCTAGCCTCCAGATCCCAACATGAAACTATCTTTAGCCACCACCATTACACCTACTGTGCCCACAGCGATTTTAACACGTCTGCATCCTCACATATGCCATTCCTGCAGCAGTGGTTTTAGTTAAAGAATAATTCACAAAGGATCTGAAACTGGTTTTTGAGTGGTGTGACTGTCCCTTCACCAGCTTGTGAGAATCTCAAGATACTCAGGTGCCTCCCATGATGCCTGTAATTGCGGTACATAGTTCCTCGAGGTGCATCACCCGAGAACTGCCCTCTTACAACCTGGGACCCCTTGGGAGAGTTGGTTTCGGCTTTATCCCCACTTGAAAAAATATTACAGAGTGGATTACTTAATTAATTAATGTTCCTTTACATCTTGGGATCTCATATGTTTCTAAAGAAACTTCCACAATCCAAGCCAGCATGGGTCAATGGTTGAGTGTCCACCTATGAGGCAGGAGGTCACGGTTTGATTCCCAGTAATAGCACATGTTCCATCCCCAGTAGAGGGTGTGCAAGAGGCAGCCAATCAATGACTCATCATTGATGTTTCTATCTCTTTCTCCCTTTTCCGTCCTCTCTGAAATCAGTAAAAATTATATTTGAAGAAACTCCCATAAGAACAAATAGCCTAATGATAAATTACTGAGCTGAGTCTCTGTGCTAATATAACTTCTGATGTTTACTAAATAAGTGACTCAACATGTTAAGTCATTCCTTAATTATCAAAATAAGTATGATAATATCTGTCTTACCTTTTTAAAAAAAAAAAAAAAAAGCATCCCATTAAGTCAACAATCAAAATAAAATGGTGCGGTGGCTTTCAGAAGGAAAGAAAAATCTAGCATTCTTTTTGGTTTTCTTCTATG